TAGAAAACAAACTTATGGTTACCAAAGGGGACAGGGAGGGAGAGATTTAAAAAAAAAAAAAAGAAAGAAATAGTGCCATTTGCAGCAACATGGATAGACCTGGAGATTATCATACTAAGTGAAGTCAGTCAGACAGAGAAAGACAAATATCATATGCTATCACTTATATGTGGAATCTTAAAAACTGATACAAATGAACTTATTTACAAAATAGAAACAAACTCACAGCCCTAGAGAATGAACTTATGGTTACCAGGGGGGAAGGATAGGGGAGAGGGATAGATTGGGAGTTTGGGGTTGACATGTACACACTGCTATATTTAAAACAGATAACCAGGGACTTCCCTGGTGGCTCAGTGGTTAAGAATCCACCTGCCAATGCAGGGGACAGCAGTTCAAGCCCTGGTCTGGGAAGATCCCACATGCCGCGGAGCAACTAAGCCCGTGTGCCACAACTACTGAGCCTGCACTCTAGAGCCCACGAGCCACAACTACTGAAGCCCACACGCCTAGAGCCCGTGCTCCACAACAAGAGAAGCCACCGCGATGAGAAGCCCATGCACTGCAACGAAGAGTAGCCCCTGCTCACTGCAACTAGAGAAAGCCCACGCAGCAATGAAGACCCAACGCAGCCAAAAAATTAATTTTTTAAAAAGAACAATGGATAACCAACAGGGACCTACTGTATAGCACAGGGAACTCTGCTCAATATTCTGCAGTAACCTAAATGGGAAAAGAATTTGAAAAAGAATAGATACATGTTTCTGTAGAACTGAATCACTTGGCTGTACACCTGAAACTAACACAACATTGTTAATCAACTATACTCCAATATAAAATGAAACTGTTTTTTAAAAAAGAGTATGTGCAGCTATGCAGTGATCTCTGAGATATGGTTATTAAGTGAAAAGAACAAAGTGTATAGAGTACACCCCCATTTTTAAGTGATATGCAATTGTTAATGCACATAGAAAATTCCTGGAAGGCCAAACAAGAAATTGCCGGCATTTGTTGGTCAGAGCAGGACCGGCTACATAATTTGCAGGCCCCAGTGCCAAATAAAAACAATGCTTCCCTTGTTCAAAAATCATTATGAATTTCAAGACAGCACCAGTAGAGCGTGAAACCAAGCTGAGAGCTCTCTTGAGCGGGGTCTGGTGTGACTTCCCAGATGGCAGATACATGAAGCTGGCCCACCTGAGAGGAAGGAACTAGAGGGGGATGAAATGAGAGGGAGAAGAATCTTCACTTCAGGCAACTTTGGAACCATTTTAATTTTTCCGTGTGCACATCTATCAATTTTTCAATTGTTAAACAATTTTATGAAAAATAAAAATTGCTCATCACCACTACCTCCCCCCAAAAAACTTATTCTCCCTTTCTTTAACCAAGAAGAGTTGCAGTTCTTAAAAATTCAGCTCGGGGACTTCCCTGGTGGTGCAGTGGTTAAGAATCTGCCTGCCAATGCAGGGGACACAGGTTAGAGCCCTGGTCCGGGAAGATCCCACATGCCACAAAGCAACTAAGCCCGTGCGCCACAACTACCGAGCCTGCACTCTAGAGCCCATGAGCCACAACTACTGAACCCTGCGTGCCACAACTACTGAAGCCCCCGCGCCTAGAACCCGTGCTCTGCAACAAGAGAAGCCACCGCAATGAGAAGCCCGCCCACCACAACCAAGAGTAGCCCTGGCTCACCGCAACTAGAGAAAGCCCACGTGCAGCAACAGGGACCCAACACAGCCAAAAATATAAATTAAATAAATAAATAAATAAATAAATAAACAAACATAAGGTCAAATTCAAAAAAACAAAAATTCAGGGCTTCCCTGGTGGCGCAGTGGTTGAGAGCCCACCTGCCAATGCAGGGGACACGGGATCGTGCCCCGGTCCAGAAAGATCCCACATGCCACGGAGCGGCTAGGCCCGTGAGCCATGGCCGCTGAGCGCTCCACAACGGGAGAGGCCACAACAGTGAGAGGCCCGTGTACCACAAAAAAAAAAAAAAAAATTCAGCTCAGGGTTGAGGGATGTCCAGAGGCCAGGAGGTCTGGAGTGGGTGGGTAGAGAAGTGTGGGGTGCAGGGGAGGGACTCTTCCTCACAGAGCAAGTGCTCTCTACACTCTGGGAAGCTCCAACTTCAATCCCAGGAGAGCTGGACTGGACCATATGTTCCACTAAATAACTGCTTGCCACATTAAGACTGTTTAAAGACACTCCCACATCCACAGGACTTTGAGCTAAGCCTCTGAGGAATCCTAACACAGCCATGTAAATTCACACAGCCCATACTGTCCCCTATAAAGCCATGTCCACCCAGGACCTCAGAAAGTGGACCTCATTTGGAGATAAAGATATTTACAGAGGTAGTTAGCCATGATGAGGCCGTGTTGTACTAGGATGGACCCTATTCCAATGAATATTTGTCCTTATAAGAAGGCCATGTGGGGACTTCCCTGATGATGCAGTGGTTAAGAATCCACCTGCCAGTGCAGGGGACACGGGTTCGAGCCCTGGTCCGGGAAGATTCCACACGCTGCAGAGCAACTAAGCACCTGTGCCACAACTACTGAGCCTGCACTCTAGAGCCTGTGAGCCACAACTACTGAACCCGTGTGCCACAACTACTGAAACCTGCAAACCTAGAGCCTGTGCTCTGCAAGAAGAGAAGCCACCGCAATGAGAAGCCCGTGCCCTGCCACGAAGAATAGCCCCCACTCGCTACAACTTGAGAAAACCCACGCACAGCAACAAAGACCCAACACAGCCAAAAATTAATTAATTAATTAATTAATTTTTAAAAAGAAGGCCATGTGAAGACACAAAGAGACCTGCAAAAAGACCATGTAAAGATGGAGGCAAAGATGGGCATAATATGTCAACAAGCCAAAGGATGCCAGAGATTGTTGTCAGCCACCCGAAGCTAGGAGAAAGGCAGGGAACAGATTTTCCCTCAGAGCCTCCAGAAGAAACCAACACTATTGACACCTTGATTCCAAACTTTGGCCTCCAGAACTGTGAGAGAATAAATTTCTGTTATTTTAAGACACTATAATATCTCGGGCTGCCATAACAAAATACCATAGGCTGGGTGGCTTAAATAACAGAAATGCATCCTGGATGCAGCATAGTTGGGTTCTGCTCTCTTCCTGGCTTACAGACAGTTTCCTCTGGCTTTTTGTTCACATGGTGAAGAGAAACCATTCTCTCTCTCTTCCTCTTCCTGTAAGGGCACTAATCCCATCATGGGGACCCCACCCTCAGCACCTCATCTAACCCTAATCACCTCCCAAAGGCCCCATCTCCAAACACCATCACATTGGGCATTAGGACTTCAACATATGAATTTGGGGGGGACACAAACACACAGTCCATAAGAACCACCAGGTTTGTGGTGTTTTGTTACATCAGCCCTAGGAAACTAATGCAAACCCCCAACAACGAAACAATTCATGATTCAAATAAAAGGCCCGAAAGCTTTTCTGTAAATGGGCAGATCATAAATATTTCTGGCTTTGTGGGTCATATGGTCTCTGTTGCAACTGCTCAACTCTGCCATCATGCAAAATTAGCTATAGGCATTAGGTAAGTGAATTAGTGCAGATGTGTCCAATAAAACTTTACCAAAACAGGCAGCTGCAGGCCTTGGCCCTCTGGCTATAGTTTGATGACACCTGCTTTAGGTGAGAAACGTAACAGTAAAGAGAAGCTAAGCTAAAGGACAAACAGTTTTGTGCAGCAAGAAGAGAAGAGGTGAATGAAGATTCCTACACTGGGCTCCAGCCTTCAGAAGTAGTCAGCTCTGGGACTTCCCCGGTGGCACAGTGCTTAAGAATCCACCTGCCAATGCAGGGGACACATGTTTGAGCCCTGGTCTGGGAAGATCCCACATGCCACGGAACAACTAAGCCCGTGCACCACAACTACTGAGCCTGCCCTCTAGAGCCCACGAGCCACAACTACTGAAGCCTGTGCACCTAGAGCCCGTGCTCTGCAACAAGAGAAGCCACCGCAATGAGAAGCCCACACACCACAACAAAGAGTAGCCCCCGCTCACCACAACTAGAGAAAGCCCGCGCGCAGCAACAAAGACCCGAATACAGCCAAAAATTAATTAATTTATTTATTTATTAAAAGAAGTAGAGTCTGCTCTGGGCAATTGATTCCCTCTGGCTTCCAGAACCCTGATTGCTGCGTCTGAAAAACGGCCTAGAAGACTTAGAGGACCCCTAAGGTAACTTCAGTTCTCATGCTCCAAAGCCCTTTCAGTTTTTAAATGTTTCCTTTCAACAATTTGATTTACTAAGCAGAATCTATAAACTCTGAGGAAAAAGTGATTTTATGGTAAAATGGACTACTAAATGTATAAAATAAAATTGTTATTATAATGAAATGTCCAGAACAGATTTTGTTTTTTGTGTTTGGGTGGTTTATGAACAACAGCTATTTATTTCTCACAGTTCTGGAAGTCCAAGATCAAGGCACCAGCAGATTCAGTGTCTGGTGAGCCCCCTTCTTGGTTCATAAATGGCCATCTTCTTGCTGTGTCCTCACAAGGAGGAAGGGTGTCCAGACCAGTTTTTAAACTGTTTAGATACACTTACACAAAACTCTACTTTTGCAAATTATTCTTTACAAAATTGAAAACATACCCAGTGTCCCTGTGGGAGCATGTATGTGTACCCTGCAAGGTTGACCAGAATTTCTTTCCAACTAAATGTGTATTTTGCTTAACAAGTGACCTCAATTCTTCCAAACAAAATAAGGAACCTAAAAGAATCCCAAGAACTTCTGAATCATTATTTTATTGTTTCCATCATTTTGTAAGTCTTAACTATTGATCCATCACCATGGATCTACCATCCAGGTACTGAATGGTAGAAATAGATCATGACCTGAAAAATGTCAAAAAATTCAAATGCTGCCTCGAAATTGATCTGCTTTAAATGACTTCTGATAAACAGACATGCAGAAGACTTTACCAAAAAACCAAACCTCACCCCACAGTACTGCTCTTCGTTGAATATCTGTGGGGGCAGAGGAATCCCATTTTGAGGTTTCTTCTCTCCAGGAACGTTCTCTCTCATCCACCTCCGATTGTCTTCGTCTCCAGCAATATCGAACTCCTTAAAATCGATTTTATTAGCTTCCAAAAAGCCCACTACTTCTTGTTGTTTCTTCCTAATCTGGTCAAGAGTAGAGAGATTACTATTAGACAATTTGTAAAAAAACATTTTATTTATATTTACATAAATTAAGCCCTTCCTTCAACTATACCATACAACACAAATAATATTGCTAAATATTTAAACAAGGAAATCCATAAAATCATAGCTCTTCATTCCATAGGATCAACAGGGTCATCATTTAAATTCTGAAATCTTAATCTCATCAATGTTTAAATCATTGATGTATAATTGATGTCATAAAAATAGCAATGCTCTCATCATAGCTTTTATTTGAAGCCTTCAAAATACTTTTAATTCTCTTCTAAGCTTTAATGCCAAAAAATAAGTAAGAATTGTTTACAAAGAAAAAGATGATAGAGAGAAGGAAAAAAAGACAATTTACTATGAAACTCAAATACCAAGTATACCCACATTAAAAGGCACTTTATTCACAGTTATGAAAATAGGAATGAGTCACATTGAACAAAAGCAGTTTTAGAAATAATACAGGAAACTGAAAAGCCCACATGGAAATTATTAGAAGAGAAAGAGAGAAAAAAAGCTAGAAAAGCTGGTGGATATTTCTCCCAGAATATTGAAGAGAAATACAGTAAAATAACCCTGTTCTCCTTTCGCACTCACACCCAGCTCTTCACCTGAGATCAGAGTGCCAGCCACACCTAAGAGAGAACATCCTAGGGCCCTTTTCTCTACCCTTGGTTCACGTACAAGGACTGTATCTACCAAATGCCATTTCTTTGTGAATGTGGCCATCTTGAAGGCTTAGAACTTAGAACCCAGAAACAATTACAGTTTTCTCTCTTCAAAGAATTCACTCCAAGAAATGAATGATGCCCTCTTTTATTATTTTTATAAATTTATCTTTTTATTTATTTATTTTTGGCTGCGTTGGGTCTTCATTGCTGTGCACGGGCTTTCTCTAGTTGCAGTGAAGGGGGCTACTCTTCATTGTGGTGCACGGGCTTCTCATTGCAGTGGCTTCTCTTGTTGCAGAGCACGGGCTCTAGGCACATGGGCTCAGTAGTTGTGGCTTGCAGGCTCTTGAGGGCAGGCTCAGTAGTTGTAGCGCACGGGCTTAGTTGCTCCACAGCATGTGAGATCTTCCCGGACCAGGGCTCAAACCCGTGTCCCCTGCATTGGCAGGCGGATTCTTAACCACTCAGGCAGATTTACTTTTAATTAAATATTCAGAAGGCAACATCCTTTATTCTGTCCAAACCCCTGTCTTCCTTCCCCCTCAAATACCCTCCCGGGAGCCTCAGCCTGGCTGAGGTCCACTCCCTCACCAGCGTTATTTCCATCTCTATTAATCATGCCCCAGGACTTAACTGAATCACTGTGCTGTACACTTGTAACTAACACAACATTGATAATTAACTATACTTCCATTTAAAAAAAGAACTTTAAAGGAAAATCATGCCTCAGGACCTGAGGAGGGATGGAAAAGGATTTCATTTTGTTCCACAGTTTCTACACAGATGAACATTTCCCAAAGTCTTGACTTATATTTCTTCTGCTGGAAAGTCAAAGAAAGATGGAGAAAACAGGAGAGGAAGATCTGTTTATTATGTAAAAATAGAACTACCATACGACCCAGCAATCCCACTACTGGGCATATACCCTGAGAAAACCATAATTCAAAAAGAGTCATGTACCACAATGTTCATTGCAGCACTATTTACAATAGCCAGGACATGGAAGCAACCTAAGTGTCCATCGACAGATGAATGGATAAAGAAGATGTGGCACATATATACAATGGAATATTACTCAGCCATAAAAAGAAATGAAATTGAGTTATTTGTAGTGAGGTGAATGGACCTAGAGTCTGTCATACAGAGTGAAGTAAGTCAGAAAGAGAAAAACAAATACCAGATGCTAAGACATATATATGGAATCTAAAAAAAAAAAGAAGAAGAAGAAAATGGTCATGAAGAACCTAGGGGCAAGACGGGAATAAAGACGCAGACCTACTAGAGAATGGACTTGAGGACACGGGGAGGGGGAAGGGTAAGCTGGGATGAAGTGAGAGTGGCATGGACATATACACTACCAAAGTTTGTGGTCCAACAAATTTTTAATTTATATGCATCAGTTAATTCAATTGCTAAATGTTTTCCTATAATATCTTTTTAGAATTAGAAATATAATTTTAGAATTAGAAATATAATTGCTCAGAGAAAACTGGGATGCTTTGATAAACAGAATATATTCCAGAATTTCTATGCTACCAGTCTCTACAAAAGAAGTTTTCCACTCTTTGACCATTTCATTGAAAGTAACAGTTACAGTGAATAAGTATTCTTAAATTTCAGGACTCCAGACACTTTTACTCCATACATTTTGCCTTATAAGATTGGGATTTGTGAAATTATTCCTCCTCTGCATTATTACGTTTGCTTACCAAACGTAAGATAGATAGCTAGTGGGAAGCAGCCTCATAGCACAGGGAGATCAGCTCGGTGCTTTGTGACTACCTAGAGGGGTGAGATAGGGAGGGTGGGAGGGAGACGCCAGAGGGAAGAGATATGGGGACATATGTATACGTACAGCTGATTCACTTTATTATACAGCAGAAACTAACACAACATTGTAGAGCAATTATACTCCAATAAAGATGTAAAAAAAAAAAAAGAATCTGTTTATGATGATTCCTCTCAAGAAAAGCAATTACGTCTACAGGAAATTGACTGACTGTTGGCTGCACGGTATTGTGCTACATTTTATTTCTCAGCACTGCCCCCAAATAAAGAAAAGAAAAATAAAATCTGCCCCTCCGGACTGCCCAAACACCAGCAACTTAAACTCAGTCAAGAGCATGGCTCTCCTGGCTGTTTGGAGCTCTTGGCTTCTGCCTGGATCTGGAGAAGTGTCTTAGGATGAGCCCAGAGGAGGGAGAGGGGGAGCAGGGAGTGCATGAGCTCACCTGGCTGGCACGTGACCTTTGCCCGCACTCTGGTGCCCACATGAGCAGGGCGCACCCCCCGGACCCCCCCACCGGTGGTCCTTGCTCAAGGGTCCCTACTAGACATTGCTCCCACCACAAAGTACAGCCTTTCTCCGTGTGGCCTCCTGAGCTGACCCTAGGGACACAGCATCAGTCCCCAAAGGTCACCCCCGCTTTATGGTTTCAAGGGTAGGGGTGTGCACAGCACCCCAGTAGCCCTCACCACAGATACACTCCCCCCTGCACCTCTCACCCCCTCTCCCTTCTCAGGGCGCCATGGCCACTGCTGGTCCCACAGGCTGCACTGTCCTTCTGGGCAGCCCCTCTGGAGGATCCAGGGTCCTTGGGGGGTGTGTCACTTGGAGGCTTTGGGACCTCAGTGGAGGCTGAGAGAGTTCTGTTTTCTTATCCTGTTACATTGGGAATTCCCTGGCAAACCAGTGCTCAGGACCCCGTGCTTTCACTTCCTATCCTGTTACATTGACTCACAAGCATGTGCCATTCTCCTAGAGAACAGAGTTGTGGTGGCCCAGGGGGAGGGAGATGGGGGAGGGGTGGACTGGGAGTTTGGGATTAGCAGACGCAAACTGTTACTTAGAGAATGGATCAACAAAAAAGTCCTCCTGTAGAGCACAGGGAATTATATTCAATATCCTGTGATAAACCATAATGGAAAAGAATCTGAAAACTGAATCACTTCGCTGTGCAGCAGAAATTAACACAACACTGTAAATCAACTATACCTCAATAAAATAATTTAAAAAAAAAAACATCATTCTCTGTCCTGAAGTCACCAGCCACTGTTGGTGACTGTGCTGCATCAGAGTGATCTCTGGGTCTCTCGCTTGGCATGTTCCGTTTATTGTCTTGTACAGTGAGGAACCTTTCCAAACAAGCTCACCGTATTGTAGTAAATAGCATGCTGCATTTGAGTGAGAGGTGACCTGCATTTCCATCCTGGCTGGGAAGGTTGCTATCTGAGCACAAGTTCTGCCCGTCCATTGCCTCATCTGCAAAATGCATAGAATGTCGCCTTCATCCTGGGTGCTGGTGAGAATTAAGAAAGCATGGAAAAGCATTTTGGACCACAAGTCGAGAAGCTGTGCAGTCAGGCACCCTGGCATGACTCGTCCTGATTGCCATGCCAGGCAAGAATTCTGATCACCATTTTTTTTGTTGTTGTTGTTGCGGTACGCAGGCCTCTCACTGTTGTGGCCTCTCCGGTTGCGGAGCACAGGCTCCGGACGCGCAGGCTCAGCAGCCGTGGCTCACGGGCCCAGCCGCTCCGCGGCACGTGGGATCCTCCCGGACCGGGGCAGGAATCCGCGTCCCCTGCATCGGCAGGCGGACCCCCAACCACTGCGCCACCAGGGAAGCCCCTGGTCACCATTTTAAGATAACAAAGCTGAGGTGCCAGTGAATTAAAGGGTTTTCCAAGGTTCACATCCAGATCCATCTAATTCAAGAGCCATGTTTTTCCCTCTATATTTACACTCGGTCAAGACTGGAAAAAGGACTGCGAAATCCGGGGGCCACCATTAGGGTCTGTCCTTAAAGATGGTGGTCCAGGGGCTGTGCATCTTGAAAACAGGGAGGACCGTCCTCTCTCCCTTTGTCCCCCAACCCCTGCGGCGACGGCCTTCAGGAGGAGGGGAGGGTCATCCACAAAGATACAACAACTTTCTCCTCTACTCCCAGGGTCTCTTCACCCAAATCTGTGTGTAAAGTGGTAAAAAAACATGGAACCACGCTTTGGCATCAGCTGTTAAAATAGAGATGTGATACACAGCTGCATGCCTAAACCTCATCAAGAGATTACAATTGGTTTTTTCCTTTTTCATTTATTTCATTCATCCAACAGAAGTCATAATGCCCTCTTTGACGAGGTCACAGGCAAGGACCTGTTTTTAAAGTATACAGACTGAAGAAGTAAGTAGCAAAGACCAACTGCCACACACACAGCATAAGTACTGGCAGCTGCTCTGGGGTCATCCTGCAAAGAAGCTTCTGGGTGAGATTCCCCAGCCAGGAAAAATCATTAGCACTGACACCGTGGGAAAAATCAGTTCTCATTCTTTAGGATAAGACAGAAATTCTTCCATTTATGTGGCTTGAGACAATTCTTCTGAAACATTGTCACAGATGCACATCTTCTAATATTAACTAATAAATATAACTACAAAAATCTTGATTAATATTAACTAACATTAACTAATAACCAAGAGTTATAATAATTATAATACTAACTAACCATAGCTGATAACTATAACATTAACTAATAATGATAGGACTTCCCTGGTGGCGCAGTGGTTAAGAGCCTGCCTGTCAATGCAGGGGACACAGGTTCGAGCCCTGGTCCAGGAAGATCCCACATGTGGCGGAGCAACTAGGCCCGTGCACCACAACTACTGAGCCTGTGCTCTAGAGCCCGTGAGCCACAACTACTGAAGCCCGTGCACCTAGAGCCGGTGCCCTGCAAAAACAGAAGCCACCGCAATGAGAAGCCCGTGCACCGCAACGAAGAGTCGGCCCCGCTCGCCGCAACTAGAGAAAAGCCCGTGCGCAGCAACAAAGACCCAACGCAGCCATAAATAAATAAATAAATAAATAAAAACTAATAATGATAATATTTATTAAGCACTTGACACCCTGCTGGGCACCCTTTGCTTATTTCCTAAGTCCTCATGACAACACTATGAGATGAGTACTATTCTTACCCTCATTTTACAGATAAGGAAATTGAGGCTTAGCAAGGTGCAATAACTTTCCCAAGGTCACATGGTCCCAAGTGGCAGCAAAACATTTGCCTCCAGCAGCAGAATGAACTTGGATTTTCTAAGATCCTGGAATAAACAGTACCCCTCCAGATCCCCCCAGGCTAACTAAATCATGCGCCCGAACTTGAAGAATGTAGGACATCAGATAATCCTAAGAAATCCATCAGCTTGTTCACTGTCTCTGGAAGGATGCATGGGGCCACTCAGACCTGATCTATGGAACATGTACAAGATTGGCAGGTTAGTGGTAAACGTTTCCAGCAATGAGTGTGTCAACAGCATGTCTGAAGCCCACGAAAGCCATTTTCTACAAAAAAAAAAATTTTTTTAATCTAAACAATCCAAAAATGTGCTTTTTGTAGATCAACTAAAAGTTTCTGAGGTCATCAACAGCCACAAAAGATTCTGCAGTTTTGCATTTGGAATTGTTCCTCATCGTTTTCTGTTAAAAGATGTTCGAGAGATCACTAAACAGTTGCCCACCACTTGTGCTCAGAAGGAACGACCAGGCTCTTTTCTCGTGTTTTCCTCTCGTCCTCTCTGGAAACCGCGTGAACTTTCAGGGCTGGAGGGGGCAAGGCGGGGGCAACGGGGGTGGCATTCAGGAGCTGCCATTAGGACAGTTCCCTGGGCCAACCATTTGTCTAGGGTATCATCCCTGGCTGAGGGACCACTGAAACCCAAGCTGCAACCCGAGAAGTTCCAGGAATCAGATATAAAAGGAAACAGCCCCTTTGCTGGTCTTCAACTCTCAGGATTAATAAAACTCTTTTTCTCTCCACAGCCTCCTAGATGCTAAAATGCTGGTCGAAATGTCGGTCCCAGATAGACACTGCAGGTTCAAGCCTAAAATCAAAGCCTGAATCATTTCCAAGGATAAACGAGTCCCTCCCTTACTCCTATTTCTTAAGGCACAGAATGAAAGCTGGACTTAGAGAGATCGACGCGTGGTTCCCAGCCTGGTCCCAAAGAAATCAGACAAAGCAATGCTTTGGAGGTCAGCTTTTAGTACCTGTTTTTGGTCTGTTTGGATTCCTAGAGAATTTAAATCTTTAGCCTTAGAGATGTTTGTTCTTGTCACTGTGACATTATTATCCTCAAATAATAGCATTACACACGCTAACTTTACACTTTCATTAGGATTACATTGCATACACAAGTTATTACACCCAGAAGTCATTTTAGTAATCTGGCTCATCATACGCTCCAAATATTGTTACACAAAGTGTCATTTATTTGCAATTTTAAATTAGTCTGTCTTGCAGAAGGATTGGCAGAAACATTCCACCAAAAAAAAAGCCTCCCATTCTATCATATATGAGACACAACACGACACAAATCACATGTTAAAAGTTCTAGTATCGGGGACTTCTCTGGTGGCGCAGTGGTTAGGAGTCTGCCTGCCAGTGCAGGGGACACGGGTTCGAGGCCTGGTCCGGGAAGATCCCACATGCCGTGGAGCAGCTAAACCCGTGCGCCACAACTACTGAGCCTGCGCTCTGGAGCCTGTGCGCCACAACTACTGAGCCCATGTGCTGCAGCTACTGAAGCCCGTGCACCTAGAGCCCGTGCTCCTCAACAAGAGAAGCCACCGCAATGAGAAGCCCACACACCGCAGCGAAGAGTAGCCCCCGCTCGCCGCAACTAGACCCACGTGCAGCAACGAAGACCCAACGTGGCCATAAATAAAAAAAATTAAAAAAATAAAAGTTCTGGTATCAAACACACCCCCTTCCTTAAATCCCCTTCCACACGCAGCTGTCCCAGATCACACACACTTATTCAACACCATTCAAACCAAGGCAGAAAGCAAAGGGCTCACAGGCTTACTTACACACGCGCCAAAAAGACATGTAAAGCCAGCACTGGGCCATACCCCTTCCTTCTACTTCCAAGTCTGAGTTATTCAGAAAATAGGACAGGAAGAAAGCCCCCAAATTCCATCAGACACCTACCGCTATGGACCCAGATGATGTGGCAACAAACACTTTGATAACCATTTTGAGAGTTGCAAAGAGGACTCCCCCCAACACACCCCTGCGAGGGAACGCGGAGTCAGACAAATCCTGACAGTGACACAGACAAGTGCCAGGTGGGGACTGGCGAGGGGCCCGAGGCTGTCTGAGCTCACGCCTCTCAGCTCAACTGAAGCCCTGCCTCTCCCACGAGCGGCCCAGGCACCTCGGGCTCTCCCCGCCATTGGCCAGGGAATATTTGGGGATCTGTCAGGAAAGCAGTTTATTGGTTGATATAAGCAGCCGCTGGACCCTTTCCCTAATCACTTTGAAAGCCCGACAACAGTCCCTAAAAGGCAAGGCTGCGCTCCGCACCAATCAGAGACCTGCGGGGAGATGCCTCGGGCAGCGGGAGGTGGAGCCCGGGTAGCGGAGGAGCAGAGAAGGGGAGGGAGGCGCTCCCCGGAGCTGGAAAAGCCCAAACACCAGCTCGGGGCCGGAGGGGGATTTGTTTACAGGGTTTTTGGCAGGCACACAGCACGGGTCAGAACAGCCACAGAAGCCTTTACCTAAATAAAGAGCGGCTTCCTTACTTTAAAATTTTCTGGCAAATTAAAAAAAACTCAATGCCCTTCAACTGGAGTCAGCTTTAATTAATTTCCACTTTAATTCTGTGATGCATATGTCATGCTTTATTATATTTTGCTTCAGATAAATTTCACTGAGCAAGAAAAATCAAGGGAGCACAGTGGGTGAAAATTTACTCAAGAAATTAAGTTTGTCATTAATACAAATGATAGGCCATCTGGATCAGCAATAACGGTCTGTAACTAAAGAGTGTTTTTAAAGGGTGCATGATTTTTATTCTTACACCGCTCAGCAGTGGCACCTAATGTACAAAGCGTGTATTTTAATCAGAGAAGGGGGCATGCTAATTATGCAATACTTAATAATTGTCATTATCACTTATGAATGCTCACCTTTTACCACATTCAAGTCTACCCTGAGGAATACCTGGGAACTTAAAGAAACCTTCAAACACAATTCCTATGAATAGAGTTAAAAAGTAAAAATAATGATTGTTTTGCATTGAAAAAAAAATTCAATGAACTGTCATACAATAGGTTCCTTTAGGAGTGGCCTGTTCCCAGTTTTCCCCCTTTACCACCTGTTTCTCCTAAAGAACAGAGGCTGACAAGCTGAGGACCGTGTCAGGTTTCACTGACATCCCCAACCCGGCAGGGAGGGCTGGCTTACAAGCAAATTGCTTCCACTGTTTTAGAGACGTTGGGGGAAAGAAATGAATGATCTGTCTGTAACAGGCTCTCTCACTGTCTTATCTGTATAGATAATTTGAATTGTGTTAAATGTTAGAGGCATTAAAAATCTACTAAGAAGCCCAAATGGTAGCCACCCCACTCTCCTGGTGGGTTTCAAAGTCAAGATCAAAGGCGTTAGGGGCAAAGGCGGGAGGGTATATTTAGTCTTCTTAAGATGGCTGAGTCTCTCTCTTATTTTAAGTCCCTGACTGCTCATGAAGGTCGTGGCTGTAAGATCCCGGGAGTGGGGAGGGATCTTTTGGGTTTTGACCTCCAGCCCCTTCACCAGAGCCCAGGAGGTCTGGAGGCCTGCTCCCCTTCCCCTCAGGTAGGTGCCCTCCATGAAAGGTCACCCCGACCCTAGAATATAGCTCAGCTACATTTAGATCAGGATGAATGGTTGAGATGACCCCCCAACAATTTAACTTAGGGCATGCAAAGTTTACTCTCCAAATTAGGTGAAGATGACTCATGGTTCCCCAAGTTTAAGTCACAAGAATTATAAATTTTATTTATTTTTTAACATCTTTATCGGAGTATAATTGCTTTACAACGTTGTGTGAGTTGCTGCTATATAACAAAGAGAATCAGCTCTACGTATGCATATATCCCCCTATCTCCTCCCTCTTTCATCTCCCTCCCACCCTCCCTCTCCCACCCCTCTAGGTGGTCACAAAGCACTGAGCTGATCTCCCCATGCCATGCAGCTGCTTCCCACTAGCTATCTATTTTACATTTGGTAGTGTATATATGTCCATGCCACTCTCTCACTTCGTCCCAGTAAATTTTATTTTAAAGCCCACCAAAGATTATAGGTCATTTTTGCTTTTCTTCTTTGCTGTATTTTCCAAAATTTCTACAGTGAGTATATACTATTTTTGTCATACGAAATATTTTTTCAAACACCTTAGTCTTAAATCCACCACACGAGCATACTATTTTGCTGCAAATATTATTTAAGAAAGTAATAAGCTCTGTGTATTTCTTAATGCCTTTGTAAGCTAGTGACATAAACTGTAGCTCATGTGCCCTAGAGAATATACATCTTCTGATCATATAGTATAACTGAGGAAGACCCTGTGGGGCCTCCCTGGACGGACCCCTCCCCCCATATCCTCTGCCTGCCTCTTGTCTGTAGAAAAGCTATAGTAATCTCAGACCTCCCCTGAGTCACAAAAGCCTGGCTCAAGAATTAATGATTGAAAGGATGTGAACACATAGTGACAAAAGTATCATTTGGGCCAGGAGAACTGGTAACAATTTTAACAGTAAATCAGCCATGTGGCAGTCACAGAACCTTTAGTTCCTCCCTGAAGGACAGAGATAACAGTATTTGATGCACATTCCTGAGCTGTTTTACAGATACTAAAGCCTCCACCAAATGGAAGAAGCTATAACTGCATGATGATGGTGAGCACATAGCCCCCAGACCAACTGGAGCCTGAGGATTGATCATGTTAACTCCTATGATACCATCCTGATGATTGGTTCCCTCACCATCAACCAATCAGATAATTGTGCACAGGCTGATCACCCACCCTACAGCACCCCCCCCCCTCACTTTACCCTTGAAAACACTTTCCTGAAACCCATCGGGAAGTTCAGGGTTTTTGACCATCAGTTGCCCACACTCCTTGTTTGGTGCCTACAATAAATCCTGCACATTCCTTCACACCTGCACACCACAACCCAGTAGATTGTCAGTAGATTGGCTTTACTGCACACCAGGCCAGAGGACCCAATACTGGTAAAAACAGGGCAAAACTTACTTCAATCTTGACAACCCCTCCAGCTGCCTGCCCTAGGGAGAAACAAATGTCCTACCTGAAATAATAGCTAACAATTTTGAGGTGTTTGCCAAGCCAGACCTGCTCTAAGGGCTTTGCATAAACCACTCCCTTAAACCACACAACAGCCCTAAAACCGGGTCCTATTACTATCCGTCCTCACCGGTGAGGACTTAGAATGGGAGATGAGGGAATTCCCTGGCAGTCCAGTGGTTAAGATTCGGCACTTTCACTGCCGAGGGCCGGGGTTCGATCCCTGGTCAGGGAAATAAGATCCCACAAGCCTCGAGGTACAGCAAAAAAAAGAATGGGAGATGATAGGAAAGGTAATGGTGTATCCAGGATTTGAACCCAACCCCGTTTATGTCCACACACCAGAAAAACTCCTGATTTCCTACCCTCAAATTCCCAGTGTTCCTTTATTTCACTATGAATTACTTTTAGAAGCTTATCCTTTTAATAATGACCATGAAAATGTACAAATCAGAAATTTGAAAACTCCAGCTGACACATCTTTTGTTACAGCGACATCAGTGAGCTTCAAGATAATTAATAGGAATACAAAACATTCCAAATGAGTCTTAAAAGAAAGCTCAATGAATCTCCGACTTCGAAAATTCAATTCAGAAATAAGTTGTCTAGGGCTTCCCTGGTGGTGCAGTGGTTGAGAGTCCACCTGCCAATGCAGGGGACACGGGTTCGTGCCCCGGTCCAGGAAGATGACACATGCCGCGGAGCGGCTGGGCCCGTGAGCCATGGCCACTGAGCCTGTGCATCCGGAGCCTGTGCTCCGCAACGGGAGAGGTCACAACAGTGAGAGGCCCGCGTACCGCAAAAAAAAAAAAAAAAGAAGAAGAAGAAGTAAGTTTTCTAATCGAATGAAGATGTAAGAGGCTAATTATTTCAGATCTCTAATCCTTGATATTAAAGTCAAATAACAGTACTTTTATATCTGACCTAATTTTTAACAGAATTTACTCTTTTTTTTAAACTTTATTGAGGTACAGTTCACAAATAAATTGTAAGATAAAGTGTACATTGTGATGATTTGATATGTGTATACATTGTGAAAGGACGATTTGACATAATTTTAGTGATAAAAGTATGAGGTATTGGCTCCAAACTTTGCAGGGATCCTCGAGGGATCTTATAATAAATGATACCAGATGCTATGTTTGGTTTATTTATATAATTTTACAGGTAAAATAAAATGAGAAATAAAGGCTGATTTTTATTCTTTTTAAATTTTTATTATTTATTTATATTTTTGTTTTCCTTATTTATATTATTTATATTTTTATTATTATAACAGTGGTGACCACCATAGTAGCAGTAGTGGGTAGAATATTGTCCCCCCAAAATTCATGCTCCCCCCCAAACCTCAGAATGTGATCTTATTTGGAAACAGGGTCTTTGCAGCTGAAATTGATTAAGGATCTTGAAATGAAATAATCCTGGATTTCAGATGGGCCCTAAATCCAATACTGATATCCTTATAAGAAGAGGAGAAAACACACAGAGAGACACAGAGAAAAACACTATGTGAAGACAGAGGCAGAGACTGGAGTGATGTGGCCACAAGCCAAGGAACACCAGGAGCCACCAGGAGATAGAAGAGGCAGGAAGGATCCTCCCCAGGAGACTTCAGAGGGAACACGGCCATGCTGACACCTTGATTTTGGACTTCGGTCTCCAGACCCATGAGAGAATAAATTTCTGCTGTCTTAAGCCATCAGTTCTGTGGTAATTTGTTAGAGCAGCCTTAGGAAACTCATACAGAGCTATAAAGGCCTATGTTCATATGTAGCATGATGGAGGTGACCACCATAATTACTAAAAGGCAGTTCTTCAGCTTCGTACAGTAAGGGCCTCTCCCCCTTTCATAACACACAGACAGGAAAGAAGTCTACTTCTTTCCAAGGCAGAAACAAAGGCGATAGACTGGAAAGAGCTAGCAAAAAAGAGAGGGAGAGACCATTCAGATGGGAAAGGATGTTCTGACAAGCTCCATCTTTCAGGTTCCTCCAGTCCTGAGAACCAGGGTTGGGATGTTCTCTTAATAATAAACAGCCACTTCTGGACTTCCCTGGTGGCGCAGTGGTTAAGAATCTGCCTGCCG